CACACACACACAGAAACCTTTAATCAGATTTAATCTCACTAATTACATCAGGAGTGAAATTAACAGACAGAACATCCAGAGCAGTGAGCAGCTCTCCCTGTTTCTGAACGTTGCGTCACTCCTGGAACTGTTCCCACGCCTGTCGGGAAAAGAGTCTCTCTTCTTCTCCTGGATCATTATCTCCCTGCTGGACCTGAGCCAGCTCACAGCAGGAGGAAATCCCCGACCTCGGTCTCACCACGTCCACTGATAAAACTCCTGGAGACGGTCCAGAAGGGGCTCAGAAACTTTACTGACCTTTAACCTAGGTCTGCCGGGTCCTAAGACCCAGCTCAGACCCCGCCCCCTCCTCCTGACCTCCAGGTGGTCCCGGGTCAGAGAGGAGTGGACTGTCCTCTCCGGGTCTCTCAGTGTTCTGTCCCAGTAGGAGGACTTCTGTAGCTCCAGAGACCCGAGTCTGCAGATCCAGAGATCTGAGTCTGCAGATCCAGAGATCTAAGTCTGCAGATCCAGAGATCTGAGTCTGCAGCTCCATAGACCTGAGTCTGCAGCTCCATAGACCTGAATCTGCAGATCCAGAGACCTGAGTCTGCAGATCCATAGACCTGAATCTGCAGATCCAGAGACCTGAGTCTGCAGATCCATAGACCTGAGTCTGCAGATCCAGAGATCTGAGTCTGCAGATCCAGAGATCTGAGTCTGCAGCTCCAGAGATCTGAGTCTGCAGATCCAGAAATCTGAGTCTGCAGATCCAGAGACCTGAGTCTGCAGCTCCAGAGACCTGAGTCTGCAGATCCAGAGACCCGAGTCTGCAGATCCAGAGACCCGAGTCTGCAGCTCCAGAGACCCGAGTCTGCAGATCCAGAGATCTGACATTTCTGTAAATGGGCCAGAATTTGCCAAAAACTAACATTTTTTAAATAATACAATAAAACACAATCAGTACAAAAACCAAACGAAAATATTTCAACACAAATTTTATAAAAAGTCTAAGAAATCATTAAAACTAGTTTAATCTATCAAGATGGTTTAGAGATTTAAAACAAGTTCAACTACATTTCAGCTGATATAAAACGGTAAAACTTGGTTATATGGACAGTTTTTATAATGAGGACAGGTCTGAGTCCACAGGTCCAGGAGGGACAGGAGGGACAGGAGGTCCAGGTCATATTCAGTCAGTCACACAAACCTGTCAGTTAAAACAAACAAAGACTTCAGTTCAGTGAATCCTGTTTGTTTTTACACAAACTGTGGCTGAACTGAACTGTAAAAAGAGCTGCATCAAATGAAAACAAGAGTTGTTTTTTTTTTTTTTTTTTTTTGGCAGGCGCTCTGAGTTTGTCGGGCATGTGCACGCCTCCGCTTCCAGTTAATGAGAGCGCTTCAGACTTTCACTTTCTGTTGACACCTGTATAAATGCACCTGCAGCTCAGCAGTGTCCTCACAGCAGCTGCAGCAGCTCCACCTGAACCCACCTGAACCCACCTGAACCCACCTGAACCCACCTGAACCTACCTGAACCTACCTGAACCCACCTGAACCCACCTGAACCCACCTGAACCCACCTGAACCCACCTGAACCCACCCTGAAGACATGGCCTCCCGACTTGCAGCTCTGCTCCTGCTGAGTCTCGTCTGCTTTCAGCTGGCAGCAGGTAAGAAATCGACACTAATCCAGGTTTTAATCTCAGATTTGAAGCATCCTGACGGGTTGTGTCCCCCCCCCCCCC